CGTAGGTTTTGTCATTTTTGATGATTGGGACTAGTGAAACTAACAAAGCGAGGCAATACTTACAGATGTCATTTTTTTAATCAACGCTGCAGGTGAGAAATCAAATGCTCTGATTGTTGCTGTGCATTGATTGTTAATTGTAAGTTCTTTCCTGAAGTTACTAAGAACAGTACAATCCTTCTGCAACTCAAAATTTTTTTCGGTAATTGGCAGCTCAATTTCAACTCTTCGGAGAAAATGTGTGTGCTTCTCTAATGAAATAAAAACCACGGGCGTAATCAGAATCTCTTTTTCTCTCAACTCAAGAAAATTGCTCGGAAAGACAAGTTCCAAATGAACTCGCCGTTCCCCAAGAAGACACTTGCTAGGAAATATCACGCTTACATAAAATAATTTTCCCTCCATGTTTTTGTATCTAAAAAGTAACCGCTTTTCGTCACCAGTTAAAGTTACTTGACACCTGAAGCTTTCCTTTTTTTGCACTTCAAAGACTTCCCAGTTGTAATCAGAGTGAAAGTTGACGAGAGGAACCAGCACCTCAGTGATATTTGTTTTGTGTCTTCTTATCACTTTTGAAATGCTCTTCTCGGCCATTCGAACAGACTCAGCTAACTTGTTCATTTCATTGACCATATCAGTAGTCAAGCTTTTTTGTTTCTGTGAACCTTTCTTCGTATCTATTGTCGTTTGACCTTCTTGGTACGCCATTGAAAGTTTTTCCAGCTTATCTTCCATTCTGCGCAGCCAATTGGATATGAGAAGATTTTTAATGACTCTAGGATCGCCTTTGATTGCCATAGCCGGTGGCTGCGTTCTATCAACCAATAGGGTTCCCAACCAGTCATGAAGACTGTCAGAATCTAATAGATTGACAGTGTTTGTTCTGTTTCTGCTATCCCAGTCAATTTGAAATTTCTTCAGAGCATTGGGAACACCAATGTATTGAAAAAATTTGAAATCCATAAATTTAGAAAAATCTGTTTTCAAAGACAGATTCATTTTGTTGTTTTCTAGTTCAATTGATTGAATCAATTGTCTCTGTTGCTCGAGTTTAAAATCAATCTCGGCACTATTGGAGCAGTCAGCAACAAATGCTACGTAGTTAGTGTCAATGACAACGAAGTGTTCCATTGGTGTAATTGATTCGATGAAAAAATTTTTCCAGACAACCGGCGATTCCACGAAATTTCTACAGAAGCTCAAGTGATCGTTAGTTGTTGAATCATGCTCATTGTAGTGCCTTGTATCTAATCCCAAAGTTTCCAAATGATCAAAATTTGGTGTGCATTGCTGAATTTTGCTGATTATTTCTTGTATATTCTGCCGAATGCTTTCATAATCTTCCGTTTCTGCGCCGATCCCCATCAATAACGGTTGACAATCAAGCAACAAGTTAGAAATGCGCTGAATTGTGTCCTTGTGCTGATCTGGAGGCAGTTTATCAATTTCGCCGGTCAAAACTGATAGAAGACTGAGCCATACATGATTATTTTCATAATTTTTGGGTGAATTTGGAACTGAATTTGGACCCGCATTGACAAATGATGAAATGTTATAAATCTTACCAAAAACCTCAACGCTGACTGATTCGGACAAACACTGAGCTAGACCATTGAACCTTGTTACATGCACTATGCAAAAAAATACTTATTGCTCTCTTCAAGTGAAAGTTGAGTCATGCGTAAAAAACTCTTTCAATGTCTAGAAACACCAGTAGTTGAATACATATTTTACATTTAGATGGCAAAAATCAATTGTACTGATATTTTATGAAAAAAAAGATCAAACACGTTTTTGATGAGAAAAAAATAATGATATGATTACTAAATTTTGCCTGAGGTTCCCAGAAAGAATTCGAATGTCGAAATCATATGTTTTTTGGAAGAAGACCTTTTCGTAAATAATGATATCGGAACAAACTCACTGACTTTGTTTCAATTAGTTCCAGCCTTTAGTCTCGTAAAACCATATAAAACCATAAAAACTGTAGCATAAGTTCTTCGCAATCTATATAATTTCAAAAGAGAATCAACATTTCAAAACTACATATGAATGAATCTCACGTAAAATGACTTTTTTTTTAAAATTCATTTCTGCCTTTTTTGAACTGTCAACTTAAAAGTTGGCAGCCTCTTTGGTGTTCAATGTTTTTAAATACTTGAATTTTCGAGCCTACCTCAATCCGGGTCGAAGTGTTCGTTTTATGTATCGACTTTTGCGACAAAATCTCGGTATATTTCGAACTTCTCTACCAAATGTTAGTATGATATCGCTTTTCTCGACCCAATCAAAAAAAATGTTCGTTTTTGTTCGACCAATTTCAGATATGCTTCAACGTTCTCGAGCAAAAATTGATTTTTTTTCGACTCTCTCGACCCAACAAGAAAAAAATGTTGGTTTTTGTTCGACCAATTTCAGGTATGTTTCAACCTCTCGGACACAAATCGATATGTTTCGACTTTTTCAATTTTTTCGACCGTTAATTTTAAAAAATTGGTTCCTTCGATTCCGTATAGATAAGAACAAAAATTTTCCAAAACTTATTTGATCCATCTCAGAGCCATTATCATCAATTAAAATCCATTTTTGTTTTCAATATAATCAAATTTTGGTAAATTTTTATTCCACTTAGTGCAGTTCTCTTAAATTTTTTAAAAAACATTTTAATAACTTGTTTGTTCGACCTCGCATTGATATGTTTCAATTTTCTCGACCCAACGTAGGAATGTTTTGACTGTCTTGACTTTCTCGACGAGCAAAAAAACTTCAAATTTTATTTGACCCATCAAAAGTGTATTTTGAGCGGCGTGACTAACTGTGTGAGTTGTAATAATTTTGTCAACTCTCTAGGTCACAAATCACAAAAGTGTGAGCTTTATTTTTTAGATGAGTCTGTTATTAAGTAAAATTTATCTCTGGTTAGCGAAAAACTACCCGACCTTTCGAATGCCAGAACAGCACGGCTCTTTGTATCGGGGGGAAGACCTGAGTGTATCAGGAGGAAGCCCTCTCGGGTCCAGGTTTGAAATTTATGCTTCCAACTAATCCACACAAAATTGGTATATTTCGATCAGCTCGACCCAGGCTCGATATGTTGCGAACTACTCGGATCAAGCTGTCTATGCTTCGACAATGTTCAACCGAGGAAGAATATTTCGATCAAGTTCGACCGATGAAAAACATTTCGACCAAATTCGACAGATGAAAAAAATTTCGACCAAGTTCTTCCGAGGCCTTTTTTATGCAAATTACCCAACTAATTTTGGCTGTTTTATGCAAATTACCCAACTGCCTAAGCACCTGCATTATTCTATTTCGACTGATATTTTTCAAAGCATTCTTTCAGTTTTGATTCAGCGAGCACTGTTTCTTCTTTACCTTACCGATTTTACATCTACTTAATGAGTAGTTGCAAAGAAAAAACCGACAGAACTTAGCAAAAACTGTACACTTTGGATCAAAAATAAGTAACTCCAATCATTTATTTAGAAGCTCAAAAGAAGTTGAACAAAAGCATTAATCCAGATCCAACGAACAAAAAATTCGAGAAAAAAAAGAATTATAAAAATTTTTGGGCGTACTTTGTTTAAGCTGGAATAGAAATATATGATAATAAGATTAAAATTTTGTCAATAGGGGTACCGGAAGTTTCAATTTGATGTTTCAAATTGGCCAAATAATCCTCCACTTGCGCCAGCACTGCCATCGAACGCATATCGTCAATATAAGTGTACAACTTACCAATTCTTAGCGAGATGTTTTCTTCTTCTTTCAACAAAAAGTCCAAAAGCGAGCTAGATTCTTCATCCTGCAATTTTTTATCACCGTCTTTTGTCTCAGTTTTTTTGGTTTTGTTTTTGGAAAGATATCCTTCAGCCTTCATTTTTAGAGAAACTATCAACTTAGTCGTAGTTTTGTAATTCTGATTTTGTTTTTTAATAGTGATGTATGAAAAGAAAACTGGCCAAATATGGAGTAATTGATAAAAGTCAGATTTTTTTTAATTGTGTGAACATATACTATATATTACATATGTATTTATAATTTTGAACAAAA